CCCCAGAGCCTGCACCCCCAGCTGGAGCCTTCACCCTCACCGCCCCAGTCCGGAGCCCACATCCTGAACTCCTCGTTTCTGGCCCCACCCCGGAGCCCTCACCCCCTTCCACACCTCAACACCCAATTTCATGAGCATTCATGGCCCGCCATACAATTTCCATACCCAGATGTGACCCTCGGGCCAAAAAGTTTGCCCACCCCTGGTGTATATTATACATACTTCAGAGAGCTCAGAAATCTTAGTTGTTTTCCCATTTTGAAGGGTTATAAATCTATGATTCCACATGGGTTAAAGAGAATTGTTTTAGCTGGTGGCATTCATGCGTAAAGGCTTAAAATTATTTTATGAAATGTAAAAGGTGTTGTGGAAGCAGAGGTTTGCTGTAATTGTTTACCTGTAGAGAGACCTGCTTAGCTCTCTCCCTCTGCACAATTGTGAGAGTTAATAAAGCATCTGACTTGCTGTACCCAAACAAAAAGTGAGAACTGTGTTTTTCTCCGACAATGTGAATAATCCTTTTCAATGAAATGAAATACTGGCACATCTTAGGAATTTAGAGGAGATGCCTCATTTATACAAGAAACCCATCTGCCTGATTGAGAGATTTCATATCGTCAGAGAGACTGGCTGGAGATTGCTATCTCAAATGGCCCTTCTTCCAAAACAAGGCAGGCAGCTATACTTTTCCATAAAGAAATGTGGAATACAAATTGTGAACACCGTCCGCAATGAAGAGTGTTGCGTTTGAATACTTGAAGTTAAGCTTAGAGCTAGTCTACACTAGAAGCGCTACAATGGTGTACCTGCACCGATACAGCTGCGCCGCTGTAGCCCATCTGGGGAAAACGTTCTATGCTGACGGGAGAGAGTTCTCCCGTCAGCATACTAAATCCACCTCCGCGAGAGGCGGTAACTATGTCAGCAGGAGAAGCTCCACGGACCAGCTGAATGGAGCTCAGTCTGCGGACCACAGTTTGAGAATCTTTTCCCTATGCTGATGGGAATCCTAATGACTAGAGCTCTCCTGCCAACCACACCAGCACTTACGTCAGTGTAACTTATGCCACTTGGGGGCGGGGAGGAGCTTATTCAAACTCAAAACAGACCCTGTGTGACATGCACAACCAAAGTAGTGACCAGAGTGATGTGCTCTCATCAGCCAATGTTGCTTGTGAGGTGGGATGCTGAGTTTTGGACCAGCTGGAGCGTGTTTTAAAGCTCAGTGCACTCATTCCCGGTAGTAACCTGTGTGGAGGCCATAGAGGTGCAGGAGCTACTGTAACCATCTAATTGTCAGGTAGTAAGTGATGCAGCCTTCTTAACAGTCACAGCTGGAAGCCAGAATTTTTGTCCACTGTAGCTATTTGAATGTCAAAAACAATGAGGAAACCAGAAGAACTTCCAGGCTATAACCTAACCTAACTATCAAGGGCAGTAACAGGAAATATTATGGTGCTGGCTAACTCTTGAAAGCCATTTCCTTCATCTCACCTGCATAGTCTCTGTGCTGCTCAGGGAATCCAGTCTCCATTTCCTTTCAGCCTTTGGTCTTGGCGATAACTGATGATGGTTTTATAAGGGGGACACCTGCCTGCTAAGGATTGAATTAAAACCACCATTTTATCTTTCCTCGGGCACTGAACTATTGAATGGCAGTAAGCCACTCACTCCTGTTATGTGAAGGGTATTAACTTTTGTAACCCCAATTCAGGTCAGGTAGAAATATACTTGAGTCTCTTACTACCAATCCTGTGTGTCATACCCGTGTTACAAGAGCTACAGGTCAATATTGAATTTGAATTTAAACCAATGATACAGAGATATAGGGCTGTGCATATCTATTACTAATTCCCTCAGCTATGTAGTGCCTCTGACCAAATACACAGGCTGCATTAGTGTAGAAAATTAAGATGCTTCTGAAATCACAGGATAAACCCTTTATGAAGTGGATATTTAATTTTGCAATAAAAATCATTGCTAGTATCAGATACCCTGCCCCAAAACAGTATAATGTCACATTTCTTCATGGGTTTCTGTCTGTCTGAATTTATTTTCTAGCTGCAATAGTGTTTTTTGCCAGACGTACACGACTGGGAAACTGTTTAATCACAGTGCTCCAAGATACTGATGTAAATTACTCATTATCTAACAGTAATCTAAAGCCTTAAACCAGTATGCCTGTCAGAAACACATACATTAGCTGAAGGTGGCTAGACTTTACAATTAATCTGTCTGCAGATTGATACTATTGTAACTGAATGATTCTCAGAGAGCGAATGCTGAGCTCTTCGGAAAATTCTAGCATTACATTTTATATACTTGGGTGCCTAGCTTTGGGATGTACATGTAAGGATTTGTATGCACCTTGCAGAATGTACAAAGACTGCCTGAGCAATGTTGTCCTGGTATTCTGCTGTTTGCACACATGCTGTCTGTTTGATGATCTTCATCAATTAAAAGTTGGAGGTAGGGGTCAGAGTAGCCAAGGCTGGGTTTTATTGTTACTGTTGTTACTAATGGTGTTATCTGATTGTATTCCTTTCTCCCCAGAACACCCTGGGTGCAGATGGCCATTCTGCTCCCCAAACCAGCTTCACATTAAACCCCAAGGACAGAAGACAATATCCTGACCACCAGGCAGCGCACAGGCCATTCCCCAAACAGCGATTCAGGCAGGAAAATGGACACACATCATTACAAAGAGATGGACCCAGATCCTTCCTCCTGGATCTCCCAAACTTTCCTGACCTATCAAAAGCAGACATCAATGGGCAAAACCCCAACATTCAGGTACACACTTCATTAAGACTCTGATATTTTACACACTATGGAAACTGACTTAACCCAACCACGTCCGCTTTAAGCTTTGCTTCAGTCCCTTAGTCACTGCCAGCTGTGCTTTCTTATACCCTTCTTCTGTGTGGTATCCCAACCCATAGTGCTGTTATGTGGAGAGATAGTCTGAATACTTTTTGCCTACCTGGATGTACCAATCCCAGTTCCCCCTGAGCCCCTTTATGAATGCCACTGACTGCACAGAGCTAGAGATAGAATCATAGTTTTCTTGCAGATGTCTTTCTTTCATCCTCTTGTTATGTAGATATTTTCCATTCTTTGGTTTTTGGCAGCGTTTTACCTCTTTTATTTTGTGGCCAACCACTGGCAATGTGACAATCAGGAAACTAGTATCTTGGAAATTATGGTCTGATTCTCATTTGTTACATTAGTGTAAATCTCAACTGATTCCACAGATTACAGTGGAATGACTGTAGATTAGATTCTCACCTAGAGATCAAAATCTGGCCTTCTGTTTAGAAAACAAAGAATTAAATGTTAATCTTAGCAGCAGCCACCTTGAGTAGAAAGTCCCTCTCTCCACAAAAATCTGATATGTTTTTAGTCAAAATCTTCTTCTTGGTTTTGGAATAACTTACTACAAGTCACTTCCATTAAAGACAGAGGGTTAGGAAGAAAAAAATAGCAATTTAATTTAGTGTCTCAAAGAAAAATCTGCATTAATAAGAAGTCATGTTTAACCAAAATAATGTAGTGAAATATTGATCTGCCTAAAACATCTATGTTGTCATAACTATAAAGGGAAGGGTAACAGC